TATATGACTATTGAAAAAATGACTCTACATTATATGGCCATACGTTATGCACATTTTTATTTTTACATGGAATAGCTGTCGATGCGATGTGTGCGTTTCTGGATGATTAAGGCTTCTCAACAATTCCAATTACTTTGCGATTAATACATTTGCTACGATATACTTTCCACGAAGAACATGGTTGTCGGAACTTCCAATACACAAACACATATATAGGATTTATATTATTCAATAATAAAGTGTCTGTGGAAAACTGGAAGAGATGTGTCACGTGTTTCATGAGAAATCTAGCTACAGTCTACTTTGCTTGCAAGGTCAGTAATTACTGTAATTAAAATATATTATGCCGGTATTCATAGTCAATTTTTATATTTATAACTGTCTTAAATACAGTCTTAGGATGTCATGAATCAATTACAAGCCGGTATTCATACTCGATACTAGTTTTAAGACTGTCTTGACTACAATCTTAAGATGCTATGAACAAATCAGAGAGCCTTATTAGCATCTTAAGACATTACTTAAGACGGTCTTAAAATAAAAACAGACCACAAAGCCGGTATTCATAATTATTATTTTAAGACCATCTTAAGTAATAGAATCTTAACCCTGATGGAAATTTTTTTCTAAATTGTAATGAATGATGAAAAATGTTAATTGTAATTGTAATGAATAACGATGAAATATTACTGAACTTTATATTGAATTCTATATTAATTGACCCACTTTCAATATTATTTCATTCAGATTTCATTACAATTCATTAAAAATTCATTAAGATTTCATTACTGTTCATTAAAATTTAATATTTTATTAGAGTTCATTATTTATAGCCCCACGTTAGTACAAAAATACAATGCATGTACTAAAATAAATGCGAAAACCATGTACAAATGTGACATGTCTGCAGATGATCTAAGCTTTGATTATGGATGCGTTCCAAAACTTGAAACTGTCAACTTCGAATATCTTTTACCCTTGTTTAATATTCGGTAAATAACAAGAATAAAATGATATTCGGATCGACAGAGTTTTGGAACGTAACCTACGTAAACCTAGTTATATAGAGTATAGAGAGAACACGATTAAATTTTACATACGAGAACCGACACCATCTAGCGGCACTTCTAGAAAGACAAATTCAACGCTTTTCGTTACAATGCGCACAAACTGAGTATTTTTTTCAATTATTAAAAAATTGCAACATTTTAATTCTACTATTCTTTTTTTGGTAACTTTCATTAATAAATCTATAAAAATATTGTATATTTTGCTTCAATGTCATTACCATTCAAATATTTTCATTAATTTTTTTAAAAGTTTATAATATTTCAATATATTTCAGTGTACAATAAATTGTAAAAATATTATGTTTCGCGTTGTTTTTTCATTCATTTTTTAAAATTATTTTTAGAATTCACAGTATTTCAGTTCAATTTCTCTTAATAAATTTGTATAAACATTAAATATTTGCATTAGTTTTCATCACACTTCATTAATTTTAGTATAATTTCAATATAATTCAGTGTTCAATTTCTTTGAATAAATCACGATAAATATTAAATATATTTGCATTAGTTTCAATAATTTTCACTCTTCATTAATTTTCATTCATTATCTTTAAAATTCCTAGTATTTCAAAATTAAAAGTATTATTTATGTTGAAATATTATCAATAATATTTCAGTCATTTTCATTTCTTATTTCAATGATTTTATAGTCGATTTCAGCGATTTATTTCCATCAGGGAAGATATTCAGATGGTCTTAAAATAAGAATAGACTATAAATACCGGCCTATGCCGGTATATGATGTAGCTAATGTAAAATCTACTTTTCAGAGATTTAACGTTTTTTGCAGATATTTTATAGAAGTAAAGAATAGGAGCATTACCCTGGCTTTTCCTTGCAACCATCTTTTACCAATTTTTTTAATAGTAGATATTTAGCATATAATTTTATACACTGTATAGAATGTCAAATGTATGATAAAATATTGAGCAGAATTTGATTGCTCTCCGAAAACCATGTTGTACAAATATGTAAATTTTAGAGCACTTTTTACTTTATACATATACGAGGGTCGTCTGAAAAGTTTTGAGCCTAACATAGAAATAAGTACTTTTTCGGTCAAATTCAGTTTTATTTTTCAACACAATCTCCTTTTAACGAAGGCTGTGTTCCAAATTTACTGCTACACTGAAAATGCTACAGTTTACGTTACGTGCACTATAGATTTTCAGTACTGGCAGTCAATTTTGGAACACAGCCCTAGTTTACACCGAACACTTGATACGCGTATTAAGTACCATATTTATACCAAATCACTTGGTTCGTTTTGGATAATATATTAAAATTCGCCTCTGCTTTTAAGTTCAGGTTAAAATTAGAATTAGAGATTTTATATCTTGAAAAGCAGTGAAGACATCATGTCACCTAACCTGATCTGTTTTAAGACAGATCGGTGTAAATAAGAACGTATCAAATCATATTTAATTCGCAATAATTTGATACGCGTACTAACCGATTTAACGGTGTAAAAGGGGTCTTTAAGTCGATACACTTTTCCCAACTTTGCTCCCACCTCTTTAACCCATTCAAATAATAGTTGGTGTTTTGCTCTGCAAAATAGGATTCCAATGACCTGCTCGTTCGATGAAAACCTCTATCTTTCGAGCCAACTTTAAGTTTAGAAAACAGGAAAAAGTCACTGGAGGCCAGATCTGATGAATACGGTGGGTGGTCAATCAATTCGAACTGCAATTCGTGAATTTTTGCTCTGGCGACCGTCGAAGTGTGAGTGCATCTTAATGGAAGAGCACTTTCTTCTCCAAATGCGGTCGTTTTTTCGGCCAATTGCTACCTTCAGCTTGTCAATTAATGATGCGTAGTACACCTCCGTTATGTGTTTCACCTTTTTCAAGATAGTCGATGAACACAATTCCATGACTATCCCAAAAAATAGTCGCCATCACCATCCCGACCAATAAAACCGTCTTCGCCTTCGGAGCAGATGCACCCTTCGCAGTCCACTGTTTTAATTGTTCCTTCGTCTCAAGAGTAAAGTAGTGGATTTAAGTTTCATCAACAGTTATTAATCGACGTAAAAAATCCGACTTGTTTCGCTTCAACCGCTCCAACAGGGCCTTGGAAATGTTCATTCGAATGAGTTTTTGGTCCACAGTGAGCAAGCGCGTCACCCAATGCGCGGTTAGCTTACGCATGCCTAATTCTTCAGTCAATATATGACAAACACTGTTTTTTGATATGCCCACAGCCTCTGCTATTTCTCTAACTTTGATTCGACAGTCATTCAGTACAATTCCCTGGTGGAAAAATTTTGCTGAAATTATTCCACGTTTTGGAACACTTTTCAGTCAAAATTTCAGTAAAATTCAAAAAAATTTCAGTGATTTTTAGCCGAAAAATTCATTTTTAGTAAAATTTCAGCAAAAATTTCAGAGAAATTTCAAAGTAATTTCAGTTCAGCGATTTTTCAATATGTTAGCTGAAAAAATTCACTTTCAGTGAAATTTCAGCAAATTTTCAGCAATTTCGCTGAAATGTTCCAGAACGTGGAATAATTTCAGCGTAATTTTTTCACCAGGGTTTGGTAAATTTTTTTGGTGAATGTTATCGGTGATGGCCGCAATTGTTGGCCGTCCCGAACGCTAATCAGCCAAGCTGATACGACCACGTTTAAACTTAGCTGCTCATCTTTTCATGGTAGCAAAGATGAGGCAGAGTCCCCGTAAACAGTGTCCAATTTAGCTTTAATTTGCACAGGTGTATTGCCTTTCAAATGCAAGAATTTAATCATGGCACGATATTCGATTTTTTCCATTTTTACAAAAACACTGACATCGACTGGCACAAATGACTGTCAAACACCAATTGAGCATCCAAAATGGAAACAATTTTCACAGGTATCTTTCAAAGTATGTATGATCGTAGTAACAATGGTTTTGATGAGTAATGCCATCTTCATGTTGAAGCTCAAAACTTTTCAGTCGATCCTTATATATATATATATATACAGGGACTTTTCTATTTGGTTTAGTCCATTCTGCCGCTATACGAAAGTTTCATCATTAATTGTCAGACACCTTATTTGTGTGTGTGTGTGTATATAATATTATATATACGTATAAATCAACTGTTGACTATAACGTTTACTGTTTTTACACTCACTACGCATTTAATACTCGTCATTATACTTTGTCACATCATGTATCGCTTAAATCGTTACTACTGGTGTCTGCTTGTGCTAGAGTGATATATGATGTGTGTGTGTGTGTGTGTGTGTGTGTGCGCGCGCGCGCGCGCGCGCTCTCTTCATAATTCTCGAATCTGTTTCTATAATCAAATATCTAATCAATTACGAAAACCTTAATAAATACCGATTTTATATTCTCTTCCTCTTTTATTACTTAAGGAGATTCTCGCGCTACTTCTTAGATAGTTTATTCATATAATAATACATATAATAATATGTAAAATAATTAAAATAATGGAATAAAAAGGTTACCAACAATATCTTATGCTATTATACATAATTATTGTCAATTTTATATGTTACTAAATATTTTCAAAATGACAAAATAAAAGTTGTAAGATGCTCATTTGATGTATATGCATCGTCCATTTGACATATATTCTAGTCTTTTTCATTGAAGAATATAAATTTCTTGTAAACTGTACGGTCAGTTTAAATGAAATTTTACGAGAACAAACTTAAGTGTTTACTTTATGATTATAACGATTTTTAAATTGCTGTCTTATACGTAAGTGTCTCAATTTAAAAGAGAATAACTACAGAATAAGATTATACCTTCAACTTGTAATATAAAATTCTATAAATTTAGAATTAAATATCTTCAAAATAGTACTGTAAAAGTCAATGAAATTTTTTCTAGATATTGGTATTATTCACTTTTGCATTACATTTATATTATATAGACTTGTCTTATTTTTCATCAAACGCGAGAATCTCCTTAAAATATATGTAAATAATTCTTATGGCAACGTCAACCACAACTAAAGAATATTAAAATTCATCCATCCAATTGCATTTTGGCATTTTACGTCCTTAATTATTACTCGTAAAGTAGTAAGGAATTGTAAATTATCGTCCTTTCGGAGAAGACGACTTATTCTTTCCAGTCCTTCTTGATTTCGAACGCCCATTCCCATTTGAGATGTTCATGCTTGTCGTCGTCCGTAAAGAGAGAACTAACGCTGTATGAGCCTCGCGCTACGACACCGGCTGGCGCATCTTCAGCTGGAGTAGTGTAAGACTGAAGCTCTGTTTTAGGAGGATACGAGCCTACCATATGTGTCATTTTGTCAACTGTAACAAAAGATAATAAATGTACAATTCTATCATACGCTATATACTCTAATTATTGTATATTCCATTTACCCGTAACTCCTAATTTGCATTAGAAGCATTAACACACAAGCAATCGAATTTATTGTAATTATTAAGAATGAATGACATCATTATATTCAAATACGAAAGAGGAAGAAATAAATATCATACCAGGTACACCAAGGCGATAAGTCTTTTGAACATATTTTAATCCATGCACGATCTCGCGTTGCACAATAAAATCGATCCTGATTCTATAGCTCACGCCCTCCTTGATGACAAATGTCTGTTTCTTCAACTGCGATAAATCACCGGTCAAATCCAGTTCCATATCCGGTCGATTGGCGACGCATAGTGCCAATTTCTTCACTATTACTTTTCTAGGATCACTAGGATCTATGAGAATTATATAATTATTTAGAGTGTTGTCACGCCTGCTATATATTATATAAAGGGATCCAAGTGTTAGTTAAAGTTATATAAAAACATTGTACAGATAACATGTGTTGCGCGCGCACACATACATATTTTTAGGTTTTGTAAAGGAAAATAATTATAATAAATGATACTGTTAATAGAATTATTGTTCTTTACTATTTACTATTTACTTAGAATAATTTTGATTGATTTAGTTAATTACTGTTTAATAATACATTCTTGAAGATTCATCAACGTTGTGGTGACTGTTATCACATCATCGATAATGTTCAACATGCGATGGTGAATACCGGAATGAAGTTTGAGTACATTGAATTCTCTTAATTTTCTATCTATGTGTATATATAAGGTAGACCATTTTAATGTTCCACCCTGTATATGCACATAAATTCGTCCCACATAATATTCCACCCCAAATATATCTTTTTCTACGCCTTTTACCAAAAAATGTTTCAGATAGAAGTTTTAGGGTTTTAAGGGGCACATCAGATAGCTGTATTATTGTGACCTTGAGTGGCGTCATCAAGGTCAAATCAAGATCATATCATTTTTTTTTAATGGAAACCTCATTTTTCATTGCATATTCTTGTAGCTTATCTTGAAAGCTCTTCAAAACACTATAACAAAATAGTTATGAAGCTTGGAAGTTACAGTACCGTCGACGTTAGCATTACCCAAGGCGTCCGATCAACGGTTAAAACCTTTTGAATGTTGTTCAAGATCATACTTTGGATAACATTTGATAAGATCAAGATTATTGGAAGTTGTTCTTATTTTCATTTTTGCACTAAAAATTCATTTTTCTCGCTTCGGCTTTTGATACCGGTAAGAAAATCTTTTGCGTTTCCATATTCGTGGAAAAAAAAACAGGATTTCATAACGTCTCTTTTAGTCTTTTTCTGTATATATGGAACAACAGCGGATAATAACAGTTTTGAGGTTTTGAGGCGAGGTGATTAATTAACTACTGATGGCTGATAATGACGTCATACGACATTTTCGCGCGAAAAAGGTACAAATATAACAATTTTTAATTCGTTATTAAAATTATAAATATGCATATCATAATTCTTTAAGATAAATATCTTTAACAGGCCTATTCAAAACTCGACTCGTGAGCCAAAACGCTTCCATCTCTCTGCTGTCTTGGTAAAGCGAAACAGAGCGTAAATAATAAAGGATAGATGGCTGAATTCTGTCTAATCGTTGTAGAGTGAAGGAGCTGAGGGAGCCCGTCTCTCAATCTGCAATCATAATAGCCGTTTTTTATTTTGCCTATCATTCTCTGCTTGTGACACCCATAATGATGCCATTCGATCTTCTTCAAGCATTTTCGTTTCTCATTATATACAACATGAATGTTCTTTACAGCACAGAAATTTGTAGCAATATTGCTGCAACATGTTGCAACGTTGCATATTGCAATGACGTTTGAGACTTGAATTCAGGCGGAGCGTTGATATTATCCTTTATTATTTACGCTTCATTTCACTCTACCGAGACGGCGGAGAAGTGGAAGCGTTTCGGTTCACGAGTTGAGTTTTGGATCTGTTTTAGAACATATATGACCTAAATTATTATTTAAAACAGAGCTGAGAAATATCTGCACATTTAAATTGATTTTCAGCTCGATTGCTACCCCTTACTTCACTATCCCGCGCGTAGTCTAAGGGTGCCTCTACATAATTCCGCAAATCGCAAAATGTAGTTCACAAATGCTCATGCAGAATGACGATCACCGCATGCAAGACACGCTCAGATGAAAACCAACTGCATGCAATGAAAAAACAAACGCAAATCTTCATTCTGCGTCTGCATTTGCGAACTATGGTTTGCAAATTATGTAGAAGCACCCCTTAAATGTTGATCGGTGCATTTAGATTGTGCGCAGGTAGGTAAAGTAGGAGACGGAAAACAAACAGAAAATCAGTCAAAATGCAGATATTTCCCAGTTTTGATTTAAAACAATAGAAAGAAAATACTGTTGAATCCAATTATAAGTATTAACGCGACGATAAAAAGGACAGAGCAATTAGTAGAGGTAACTTATAAACAATTTTGAACACAACTGATAGGTATTGATTATACAGTGAGTGCAAAAAGTATTCGTACAAGGAAATTTTTTTATAAAAAGTCTTATTTGTAGAAAATACACATTAATTAGCAATTTGGTACAATGAATACATTCTGTTCTAACATAAACAAACGAGTTTCGCATGTATTCCTGATTTTAAAAGCTAAATTTTTCTCAACTGTACGAATACTTTTTGAGCATCCAAATAATACAATTTTTAATGTTCGTTTATTTTTCAGACGATATATTTTCTATAATTAATACACATCTTTTTGGTATATATAATTTTAAGAAACATACAGCCTATTTTTTATTCTTTATGAATAAATTGTTAATTACCCAGCAAGAAATGATCAATTAATCGTCGAATCGATGTCAAATTGGTGTTGAAATCATTGTATCGATATCGATTCGACATCAATTCGATGACTCATTTCTCGCTGAATAATTGATCTCGCTGAAAAATTGATATTTTAAAATTAAAGATTTTTAAAAAAATATTTTCTCTGTGTGTACGAATACTTTTGCACTCATTGTATATTTATAAAAATAAATGCCCACCTATTACGATGCCGCCGGACTTTGCTTCTCCCAGAAGCGTCTCCTTATACTTGCGCAAACTTTCGTCTTCCTTGTCCGTTTCCAAGATCTGCTCGATGGATTTTTCCGGTGGAGGCTTATAACTGGACTCCACGTCCGGCTCCTCGTCCAACGCATCTACATGATCACCCGTAGAGTCAGACATCGCTATGTTCAAACCAGGAAAGATATACATATATATATAAATATATATATATAAAGACTTGCGAGAAAAGGAGATTAAAAGACGCATGATATTATGTCGTTCCCGTAAAGATCACTTTTGAGAGGAAAAAATGATTTAAAAATCAAAATAACGATGTTAATCGTCAGAACTCTCTTTAGAACTATGTATTTTTTTTTCAAATTCTATAAGAAACTGTGTCTGGAAACTGTGTCCTTCGTTAGACAAAGTTGGCGCGGTGTGAACCTGACGTCTCATTTTGCATTTTCGGTTTCTCGGCTTTAATGGTCGGAACTATTTGTTTAACCTATATAGAACTATTGAAAATAAACTCAGAACTCTCAACATTTAATGTTTCCATCGAGTGAGACTCCAGCTTCACACATATTCAAATACACACCCATCGATCATAGTCGCTAGGCGCGCGGGGAGTTGTTTTCTTTTGCTGCCATGCATAGCTCGTAACTATTGCCACTTGTAAACAAATTCCCGTACAGCTAGCACTCATTCCTAATGGGCGTGCATTTGGTGGTACAGCCCTGGCACAAGTAAAAGTCGGGCGGAGCGTAAGTCAAATATAAAGGGAGAGCAACAGAAATGTAAACGAAGCCCCTAGAAGGCGAAAATTGAAACAACGAAATGAAAATGCGTAAACACCTCTTTTACATTTCGTTGTTTCAATTTTTAGAAATAGCCTCTTAGAAATTTCGTTTACACTTGTGTTATTCTTCCCTTACATTTGACTTATATTCCAATTTTTACTTTCGCCAGGGGGGCGAATAAGCGGATAAGCACAATTGTCGCAATAATTAACGAGATATTAATTTCTAAAGATCATCGAATCTTATTCTTTTCAAGAATAGGGGTCCTGTTCCTGGAGTTATATTATTGGGTTAGGGAAAGTCTTTTTACAAATTGGTAAAGACTTTTTTTAGAAACCCATCCCTGGTGAAAAAATTTCGATGTAATTATTCTACGTTTTGGAACATTTCAGCGAAATTGCTGAAAATTTGCTGCAATTTCACTAAAAGTGAATTTTTAAGTTAACATATTGAAAAATTGCTGAAATTGAATTGAAATTTTTCTGAAATACTGAAATTTTGCTGAAAATGAATTTTTAGTTAAAAATCGCTGAAATTAAATTGAAATTTTTCTAAAATGCTGAAATTTTGATGAAAAGTGTTCCAAAACGTGAAATAATTTCAGCGAAATTTTTCCACCAGGAATATATTCTATTTTTAAAAAATTGGCAATTACACCATTTGATAGAGCAACGTGTCAGCTAAGAATCTGTATTTTTAATTACGATACGATTTTTAACGGAGCAATAAAGTCCGAATGTTCCTTTTTACTTAATCCGTGAGTAACTCAGGAACAAAAAATCGTAGGAACATTTTTAAAAACGATTTTGTAGGAAAAACTTCAAGCTTTCACGATAAATAGTCGAAAATTTGCTGGAAAATATTTTTGGGGCACGTTACAGACCTACAAAGTGAAAAGAAAATTCATTTTTTTCAGCTCGTAGTTTTCTATATGTAAAAATGACAAAACTCACATAAATTCAAAAAAATAACATTTGAAAGTAGAGGTTTCGAGCTTTAAAATCCTTTTTTTAAATTTAAATTTTGATCATTTTTAACGAAGATATTGATGGGGAAAGATCTTTTTAGCAATTTGTAAAGGAACTTTTTCCCTAACTCAATATATACCTTCTATACTTAAAATGAAATAGATATACAATTACAAGTCGAGAGAGACGAAAGAAAAAAAAAGGACAATATATATATAAATTCACTTGCAAAGAACATATTGTATTCGCTTTGAAACGTGCAGCCAAATATAAACAGGGCGAGTAAATCCGCGGGGAAGTGGAGCAAGACGATCAGCTGGAGATCCTCTCAGCTACTTTCGGCTCCTTTTTTCTTTTCTCTCTCTCTCTTTCTCTCTCTCGCACACACACACAACACACACACACACACAATATCCTCTTTATACAATTCTCGTCCCATTTGTTTTTGCAGAACTGAAAATGCAATACCGACGCGATCGATCTCTGCGCATAAAGGGCGCTAATCGCAACTCTTGTCATTCGCTCGTACAAGCAAGGCGCATTTTCGCGCAACTCCTACTAAAATCCGAAAATCAGCTCCAAACTTTACTCGATTTTATGTTTTTTTTTTCTTTCATTTTCAGAAGAAAACCAGAAGACGCAATACGGCGCGTTCAAAGCCCACAGCTTCGACATATAGAATTTCTCCGGGAGACGAAGACTCCCGTCACAAACTTCGCCTTGTCGCCTGGAGAGGAGAACGCGAGGTGACGATGATTACTCGCTTCGTCCGGCACACTCCGGGTACCCGGCACAGTATCCACCGCTCAGCACTTACCGTCGACTCTCTCCGAATCTCTCGGCTTGACAAGCGGCTTGCGAAAGTTATGACAATACGACCGGCTCTCGCGTTTGCGAGAATCCGCACCAGATTATCGGCGGCCGATTGTTAATTCCCGTTTGTCTATCCTTCCGTCTCACGCTTCGCCAATCGGAAGGTACTGACAACATGGCGCCGCGGCGCGCAGTCGGCGCGATGCGAGTGCGCACGGAAACGGAGGGGCGGGTACTTCTTGTGGCCGCATCCGCATAGGCTGCTCACGTGTAGCTCTAGAGTGCGTTCCGAATTACGCACAAGGCGCATGATGCATCATTTGTCCTTAAGGTGCCTTTTCATGCTGACGCTCGACGCTCATTTTCAGCGTCAAAATAGATAATGTGATCAAAATTGACGCTTGATATTCGTCGATTTCTATGGCTGCGGTCCATTTGACGCTACAAACGCTTCGAAGCATTCTTTGATTAGTTAATTCGTAAAATTCTTTGTTTTGATTGGTCGTTTAAACACTTCGAAGCGTTTGTAGCGTCAAGTGGACCACAGCCTATATGAGGTGATTTATATTGGCGCCGAAAATGAGCGTCAAGCGTCAGCATGAAAAGGTACCTTTATGGCCCGTCCACAATACACGTAGTAAAAACAGAATGTATTCATTGTATAAAATTGCTAATTAATGTTTATTTTCAACAAATAAGACTTTTTTTTATAACAAATTTCCTTATACGAATACTTTTTGCTACACAATATATTTTATATTTTGATACACAATATAATTTTATGACTCTCAGTTATGATCTAATTATACAACTGTTTAATTATTTTTTTTAATGAGCAACAGTTTAATTAATTTAAAAAAAATGAATTGGCATCATATTGTGCAATAATGTTCATAGCTGAACCAATATTTTTTTTATAAATTTTTGCAATATATATTTTAAAGAACCTTTGTTTGACACAATACAATTGCATAAACCCTCAATATGGCCTCTAGACAATCAATATTTTATGATACCAAATATTGCACAAAGATATTTAGTTGAAGCGAATCTTGTACGAACGTATATGAATAAAAGTTTAATTTCAGTTGTGTATATAATTTGTATAAATTAAAGACAATCCTACACAGAGGGAAAAAAAGTTAATTTCTGACTTGCTGTACCAGACTGAATATTTTATAACGTTATATTAAAGCAGTTCAATGTTTTTAATTGATTTAACATGCACGATAGAAAAACTTATACCTAGAAAGATCATATAACTTATATTTGTTAAAACACATATCTATCGGATTACAAAAATGTCTATTTGAAAAAAGGATTTAATCTTGTTTGAATATACTCTGGCAATATTCCAAAAGTGTGTCTACTCCTGCTTTGTTCCTAAAATTCGGTCGACAGCTACACAATTTTTGATGCAGTAGCTCAGGATAGATTTGTGCAACACTCTTTAATGCGTCTGAAAAAACAGTATTAAAACTAATAAAGAATGTATTAAAATATATTAAGAGTTGCATTACATTGAATTAAAAATTATGACTCGAATCATCTTGAAAAACGCGACAGAGTAGAGATGTACGAATAATTTGAAAATTTTCAATCTGACAATAAGATATTCGAATATAAATTACATATATTGATAATCTTATACACGCACGCACGCAGGAAGGAGGAAAGGGGAGAGAGAGAGAGAGAGAGAGAGAGAGAGAGAGAGAGAGAGAGAGACGTATGGACACACACGACATATAAATCCGATCGAGCAACCTACACAATACACGTTAAATAATGCTAATACCGGTAATACCGTAACTTTCAAGTCTCATAATTCGACTTCTATCGAGGACAATTGTAAGAATTCGCACATTTCTAACAGAAAAAACCAAACTGTTGACGGTTACCTAACATTATCTCTTGGAAGCGAGACTCCGGATCATCCAAGTGAATAATCATTGTCGTGTACAGAGCATCAATGTGACTCTTACTGAAGACAGTGTCGTAATCTTTAGAAACGGCGCTCCAGACGTCCACAAGCATTTCCACCGCAGCATAGCGAACATCGTCGCAGCCATCATCGAGTCTCTTCAGTATCACCGGATACGTGCAATGTACATGTTCGTCGTCTAAACAGGACAATCTCTGTCCAATTTTTACTAATAGATGAATGGCGCGCATGGAATACAGTCGAGTCTTCTTTGCTTTATCGTCCACTAGACTAATTAAAACAGGCACGATCTTATCGAAGATGGACGGGAACTGCTCTGCCATGATAGGTATTCTAGAATTCTTGTTTTCCTCATTCGTAGACAACTGCATTTTGTTAATCTCATCTTTTTTGTCGGGATTAACTATTGTGTTTTGTAGAATAGCGCAGAGGCAGCAAACGGCGGCCGTGCGAATGGCTTCAGCTGCTCTACCAGCGGCCCAAATAAGTCCAGGCATGATAAACTCCTCGATAATCGTGCTCACAAATCTCTGCGGATCCTCGATACAATAATATAAATTCTGATTGTTCAGGAAGTACTCCGAAAGTAGAATAAAATGCCGCAGCTTCAACTCGGGATCAGCGTCCTTGTTCATAGTTTTTTTAAAAATGGATAACACAAGGTCCATATTATGCGATATGGCGATTCCATTGCGGCTTAAACAAGCGCAAAAAATTTGCGATTCCGCGCTGTAAATCGTCCACGAGGTGCAATCATCGTGAATTGACGTTATCAACGGTTTCATGTGATTGTAAAAGAGATTGTCGATGTTTTTTAGTGAATTTATGTTGACGAGTATCTCCAAGAGCCTATCGGCTTCTTCGCGAATGAAAGGCTCCACGCTCATCGCGTACATGGTGAATATTACATTGAATAAAGCTTGTGTTACCGCTTTACAATCCTGCATATTATAATACATTGTTAGATCCAAGAATTAAGCAAGAAAGAAATTTAAGTAAATGAATAACTGTAATAGATGTATGTATAACGAAGAAAGAATTGTATTCGAACCTCCTTACAAACTACAAGAAGAGAATTACAGCAGGAAAGTATCTGACATTGATAGTTGCTCTTTTTACTCTGACAGATATTCGATTGCTGCAGAAAACTCGTTATCTTGTCCAATTGTTGCAATAGAGCCTTTCGTTCACTACCGCTAATGATCGCTGCAAAGACACGCAAATGTCCGATCGTCGGGGATTCGTCTAGAGTGGGAAGCACCAACTGACAGTAAATTTTGGGTTGTACGAAGTAGCCCAGATATCGCGCCGCAGTTTCCACACAACTGATGATTCTCTTATCCTCGTCATTGCAAGCGCTATAACAAATCGTAATTAGATTTCTTCATAAGTTTTGTCACTTATAATATGTGTATAATTTTGCAGAGTAAGATGGTGACTATTTAAAAAGTTAGCAGTTAAGTGTATGCGCGCGCGCGCGCGTGTGTGTGTGTGTGTGTGTGTGTGTGTGTAATATAAAATAAAGTTAAAAAAGTTGATAACTTAATTTAATTGTGATAACTTAATTTAGAGGTAATATTTTTTGCAATAAATAAATTTGTTTACAGATTTCCAACATATTAAGATTTCTTTAATAGGTGCCCATATTGAGCATCAAGATTTAATTGTGATATTATTTCAATAGTTTAGCTGCATTTTTAAATCCAATAAAATTTCGGCGAGCAGTTCAAAATGACTACAAATATGGTATATATATATATATATACTTTATATAAATTCATATTGAATTATTTAAGCATCGAAGATCCAACTTCCTTAAAAATACCTTTATATGGGCCTTTAATTCCTGTTTCTTATTGATTGTGTTCTCACATGTACGATCTAATAAAATTCTTATTGTTTAAAATATTTTTTCTTTAAAAATTTTTTTTAATTTATTATTTCTGTATCTGAATTTTACCTAATTTCTAGTGAATAGTTAAAAGTAAGTCCTACCGATACATAGGCGGCAAAAGCTTTTCAATATGTTGGGTAACATCTTCTTCAACATTTAATATCAGTATACTGAGTAATTGAGCAGAACGCATACGTATATCTGGTAACCAATCTCCAAGTTCGGCACTAATACCATTAATAAGTTTGCAAAAATTCTGTTGTGCAATCACACGACATCCTAAATTTGGCCTAGAAACTAAAAACAATTTTATATAATTTAATTCTCAATTTGATATACTAGTCTGTAAGATTTTAAAACTAACTTACTCTCTGAAGGATAATGCTCTGGATCTTCCGTAAGAAAGTCCATTTTATCTTTCAGCTTTTCGTCGTTTTCGTTTTCCTGTATGTACAATTTTCCTGCAGTGTCCCACATCTCAGCTGCTTTTACACGAATCTCCGCAAGTTCATCGTGGAATCCTGTCATGATCAGGGGAAGAAGTCTGTGCCACCAACCATATCTGTCAGGTAGCTTTATCAACCAGCGGCCAGAGACTTCAATTACAGCTTTAAGATTCAATGCAATTATAATAAAATACTTTATACGAACAGAGTTTTTAATATAATTATATAAAATCGTGTTAAATATTTACTATATGAAACGTACCCTTCCTGACAATCCCACTTTGGTCAAAAAGTCTCTGTGCCAAAGGAGTTGCCACTTCTTCCATTGACTTGCTATTGCCATACTGAATCACATCGCCTATCGCTTCAACAGCAGCGAGTCGAACTCTGTAGTGTTGATGCATAAAATTGGTCAGGATAGGTTGTATTAAATATTCCGATTGTGAATAGAAATGCCTGGATAGAATCTTTGCGTAATCCGATATACATCTGCAGCTCTCCTTTTTAACATTTGGATAATTATCTGTAACGGTACGTGCCAATATTCCTGTCACATCTTGAATATGCGGCGCCAATAAATCCTTATATTTCCGAATGATCGTTCGTAAAAGAGAAACGCATTTTAGTCGTACTTCTTCTGATGGCTCGATCAATTCTTGCTTGCCCAAACGCCTGGACATTATAGGTATAATGTACATTATGTGCTTGTCATCGGGAGGCAGAGCTTCCAAAAATATTTTCAGTATTCCTAGGGTCAGGTCTCGACACACCTCTATATTATCGTTCATGATTCTAACTAGAAATCTGTGTATATTCTCCCATATTTTAACAAAGTCATCCAATCTGCCTGATATTTCCTCCTGAGATATATTTTTCAATATTTCCTCTAGCGCTTGTTTGCGACGATTCTTTTCGTCTGCTTGCAACGAAACGGTAATCTTACTTAATTCAAGATCCAATGCCATATTTATCTGAAATGGATTTCTTTCTCTTAAAATCAAGATGATAATGATATAACAACAAATTCTCTATACGAACTTTACTGAATATAGAAGAAAACATCGATCCATCATGTGTATCTCCATGACAACAAACGCATTCGGTTTGATAGTTCCTCTTCTTACATAATTTGTAGCCTTTTTGAACACAATTATCGACGCTATAAATTCACGTATTCTATAACATTTCTTTTTATTTGACAAAATATTTGTAAAAAATCTTTATCTTGAAATATATTTATTATGTCTTGATCTAAAATACATTTTTAATCATACAATAAAATTAGAACTAGATCACTGATAAGCACAGAATACACGTCTATAATGACTTTACAGAATTTCTAAAATTCTAAAATTGTACAATTTCTATTATGCAACTATATCTCGTATTTGAATACGCGCGCATATGCGCGCCCTCATAATTGATTATTTTATATTACTTTAATATGTACTATAGAGAAAAGATGACTACAAAGGAAATATATATTAAAACATTTAGATGATTAGTTTCTTTCTGATGAACGTAAGGGACTAATTTATACGTTCACTGTTATTTCATAAATTGGAGAAATATAAAAATAGTGTAGAAAATTAAGAGACGGATATGTATTTTGGACATGGTCCCCGGCATTGAATCTTACGTGACTTTCAATCGTCATTTATTCATAATTAAACTGTGTAACTTTTCATATGCAATCGTCTAATTTCTAATCTTCCAAAGTTACATTTTTAAACAGATACGACATCGACTCCTTATTATGTATACGTCGAATTGCCTCTGCTAAAAGAATACTGATGTCAACAGTCTTGATTTTTGGACATTGCATCTTCTGCACGTCATGAGGAACCGTGTTGGTTACAACGACCTGGAAAAATTTCATAAAAACGTTTTCCTTGTATTAATGTAAACTAATGTAATGTTTTAATGTTATTACCTCGTCAATAGGAGACTCCTCGATGAGTTTAGGAGCGTCCGAGCTGAGTAAACCATGTGTAGCTAAGACGTATATTTTGTAAGCTCCTCTCTCTTTAAGAACTTCGGCAGCTGCTACATACGATTGTACATCATCTATCATGTCATCCTGCGAATTTATTTCTCTCGTCAAATCGTCGACCTGATACAATATATATAAATGCAATATACAATTTTACCCACCACCATAATAGCGATACGTCCTCCGACATCTCCAACAACGCTTATAGGTGGTTTTTCCTTAGCTGGATGCAAAGGTACACCAACGCCAACCTCCATCGTACGTGCGGCCAATGCTAGCGCAGGTGGCGAATAGCGACCATCGTTCATGTCTGATTCAGCTTCTCTCTGTTCTCCATGAATCACTGCAATTCCCAGGCGCAGTCTTTCAGCATAGCTAGTCGCTTTCTTCGCACTACCTGGATTTCTTGCAACGATCACAGAATTATGATAGTCAGGAATCTGACAAAGAGAAGATACAATTTATATAAAAAAGTATGATATAAAATAACACAGACACATATGGAGTAACTTTTGAATACCTTAAAGTAAAGATATAATTCTATGATATTATTAATTAAAAGAGAAAAATATATCATATCTATATTTTCAATTTAAGATATTGGTCACGCTTAAAATAAGTTGCTATCATAATCCAAGATAAAACATAATTATTACTAATAATTTATAATAATAGTTACATTAAAATCTTACTACATACGGATTCTTGAATATACTGCAATAGGAATGGGCTAGCTCTCAAATTATCCACTGGAACATCAAAGAATCCTTGGATTTCTTTCTGATGGAGATCCATGGTGATAATATGAGTTAGGCCGCTCGTGCATAACATCTTTGCCAAAAGCTTGGATACTATGCAACCACGTTTACGCATTTTGCACTGCTTGGAATAAGGTAGATATGGAATCACTCCAATAATATTTTTGGCTGATGATGTTTTACATGCATAGGCCATGATGAGAAGCTCCATTATGTTATTGTTTACATCCTTTGTACCAGTTTGGATTAGATATAAGTCTTTACCACGTACAGAATCCCCTATCTCCACCATTGTCTCACGATTGGACTTGTGATACACAGCACAACCACCAGGTTTCACACCCAAGCGACTTTGAACATAGAAAAATATTGTAACAAATATTTTTTGCATTTACTTTCTGTAGCAAATTAATTTAAATGTATTAACTTTGGTCATAATTAATGATAAGCAGTAAATTATATTAAAATTTATATACTTATTTGCAGGATTGAGTAAGTTATTAAAAATTGAATGAATAAAAACTAACTTAGTTAAAGTTACGTTAAGATTGAATTAACTAAAGTTAAATAAAAAGTTAATTTTAAAAAACATTATTTTTATTAAATCAGAATCATTTTTTAAAAATCAGATTACTTTAAACAACAAAACAATTGTAATATAGATAAATTTAATATTTTATTTGTAAATTTTATAAAATAACAAAAATATTTCTTGTACAATAAAAACTGAGTTTTATTATTATTAAGACTTAAAAAATGATCGTATATATGAATACATCAAATACGATTGAGAACGCCAATACGGTCAAAGTTAGATGTTTTGAATAATATATATATTCTTTAAATCAATTCATTTCAGATATTGATTACGCGCCGATAATTTTTCGGATTTTCAACACAATCACTTTGAAACGCTAATAATCCCCTCTAAATTAAATTAGAAAAACTGTAAAGAACTTATTGCACTAAAATATTACCTCATATTACATTCGCTCCGAAAAGTCGAGAAGTCCCAGGTTCGAACCCTGGCTGAGGTAATATTTTTCGCAATAAGTTCTTTACAGTTTTTCTAATTTAATTTAGGGGAGTTTATTAGTGTTTCAGATTGACTCTGTTGAAAGTCCGAAAAATTATCAGTACGCAATCAGATTTAAAATAAATTGATTTAAAGAATATATATATTATTCGAAACATCTAACTTTGACTAAATTGGCGTTCTCTATCGTATTTGATGATCTTTATTATTTTTATATAAGTATTTTTATATTTTGATATTTATATTATTAAAAGAAAAAATGTAAATTTTTTTTTAATATAGGTAATTTTGTACTGACTCTTTGTGTTGGACATGTCTGCGCGTTCTTTGAAATTTATATGCAAATAAAAAGTCTTTATTCTTTCTTTATCGCCCATAAAACAAAGATAGCGTGACGCAATAGCACTGATAACATTCCCTAAATCCAACGCATGTTTATTTTTAGGCACCATGAGCATTGCGCTCATTATTCAATTATTAAGCTTTTTCTAAACTAATTCTTTGATTAAGATTTTATAAAAAATATTATTGGCATTTAGAGAGATAAAAAAAACTTTAATTTAAAAAGAAAAAGTTAATAAATTAAAGTTTAAAAGTAATTAAATTAAGTTAAAAGTTAATTCATTTAAAATTAATTAAATTAAGTTAAAAAAGTTATTAACCCTTTAACTTTTTATTTAATTTTTAACTTACTAACTAGTTATTACCCAATCTTGCTTATTTATAATTTTGTATTTTGATGGAATTATATAACATTTTTTATCTAAATAATCAAATAAATCAATTCAGCTGATTTAGCATCACACACACGCATGCACACATATTTATCATATATGTAGCAACTGTAATATAGAAATAATGTAATTGTATGGTGACATAATATTATTTTGCATCTGTTTTAAATCAATGATTTTCTGAACTGAAAATTATCACGTCTACTCCTTTCAGTTGCATTATAAATAATTTTATTATATTAGGCAATAAAGAAATAGTGTATTACATATCAGGACATCCTCTATGTACTGCCAAAATTTCATAATTTCATAATTTTTTTGTTCATAACCTAATGCCAAGTGCATGGTGGAAGTAATTACCACCAAGCATTATTCTTGAAAAAACAGATCTATTATTGATACAAATAATCTTGCAAAACAATCATAGGGTGATCTTCCAAATGAGACATCCCTCCGATTGAGTTGAAACTTAACAGATAATATTGTTAGGATTTATAATGATTACTTAAGAAGATCCTATCTTTAGTTTTTTTTTATAATTTGATGAAAAAATAAAAGAGAAAAATTATGACTGAAAATAATTTTATATATATGCATATTGATATCTTGCATTGGAGCCTTTGCTAATCTTTTCGAATCTATAATTTTAGTATATGATAGACTCGATCATCCTGATCTATGATTAGACTCACGTGATCTTGAACAATATTATATTATTGTTACACTACAAATAATGTATTAAAATATTAAGTTATTTTACTAGAAAAAATATTTATATTTAGATATATTTAGCATTTAAATTTTTCACCTTACTAAATTAATGAGTCTTATATATTAAAATCATAGCTTCTGAAAAGATTAGCAAATGCTCCAAAAAGATACCAATATAGATAAATAGAATTATTTTCAGTAATTTTTCTCTTTTTTATTTTTTATCATTTAAACAATAAATAACTCAAAGATAGGATCTTCATAAATAATCAATACACGTCATAACAATGTCACCTGTAAAGGTTCAGCTCAATTAGAAGGATGTCTCATTTGGAAGTACAGTCCAATCATGATGCATCAAAATATCACTATTAAAAACAGATAGGCTTTCATGTTTACATTTCATATTCTATTATTTGCCACTCACCTTGCAATCAGATTTGCCAGTTCCGGATGAGAATTGCCCGAAATGATGACTATGTCAGACGACACTGGCTTTTCCATTGCTCGACGATTGTTGCAGCTGCGAAACAAAGATGCCGAGACACTCGAAAAACAATTAGCGAAATATTCACCTGGAAAAAACTGACTTTATAAACCGTAAATTTGTAAATTTCTGAATTTTTCTCAATTTCCAAATCCAAACTTTGAGCAGACAAAAATTGCGTGTTACACAATTACGAAAAAGCAATAAAGTTTCGCAATATGATGACAATTGGTTTATACAAATTTTTAATAATTTAGGAAAAAGATCATGTTGTTTTCAGGTAATTTATTGGAGTAACGCAGAACTAAGCATGTATATACATATAGTAGAAAATACGTCAATATACCTCGTGATAAACAATTGATCAAACTTCGTCACCTCGCACGCTTTTGACAACACGATTACGTCGTATCCATAAACTTGATTAGACTATTCCCACATCTGACCATTTAACACATCTCAGTGGTTGTTTAATCGCTCAATAATCACCGCTATTCAATTACGAAGGTTATTTGAAGAAACTTTAGATTTCTTCAAAGACATAAGTGGACTGCGCGATCCGTATCTAAAGTAGTATTCAAATGTGATCGACAATAATGACTACGATAGCTTTCCAACAAGAGACACGGGGTGACACGGTGAATCGTTGCATCCTTGTTATTCGCCAATGTTAAACAAGGATGAGATGATCGCTACGTCGCACAGTGTCGCTTGTTGGAAAGTTCCCAAGGTCTGTTCGCGCTATTTGAAATCCCCCAAAATTTTTGAACTAAATTGAGATAGATATATATTTGGACGTTGAAAAGAAAGAAAGCGAAGATGCCGAGTGCAAAAAGTGCATGCACGCGAACAGATCTATACTGCGTTCGGAAACGTTACCCGATTAATTCTAGGGACTTTATCGGGTAACTAGAGTCCCTAAAATTAAGAGTCGTGTCAATCTTCTAGTTGGAGAAAAGGCTTGCTTTCCAGCAAGGACATAAGATCTGTTCGCGTTGCTTGCACTTTTGGCACTCGGCATCTTCGCTTTCTCTCTTTTCAAGGCCAAATATATATCTATCTCATTTTAAGTGCAAAAATATTTGGGGATTTCATGCAACGCGAACAGACCTATAGTCAGACACTGTGTTACCTAGGGTGCGTTCGAGGAGTCGCTATTAGAGCTATTCTGTCATTCTATCCTTGTTTTACGTCTAATAAACAACGAAAATAGAATGACAGAAGTAGCACTAATAGCGTCTCCCTGAACGCACCAACAGTGTCTGACTGTGGCTGCGGTCCATTTGACGCTACAAACGCTTTGAAGCTTTTGAGCGACCAATCAGAACAAAGAATTTTACAAATTGAGTAATCAAATAATGCTTCGAAGCGTTTGTAGCGTCAAATAGACCGCAACCACGTCCTTGCTGGAAAGCAAGCAAAATGGTGTACTAGTTACTATATATAGCGCATGTATGTATATACAAGAGATTGGATGCATTTGGTGCATTCAGTACTACGACTGCTCATTGAGCGCTCAGTGAGCTCTTGCATCTGATTGGCATATTCCGTTAGAACTAAAAATATAGACCAAACAGATACAAGAGCTCACTGAGCGCTTGCATCTTATTGGTATATTCCGTTAGAACTAAAATTATAGACCAAACAGATACAAGAGCTCACTGAGCGCTCAGTGAGCGATCGTGGTACTGAATGCACCCATTACTAACGCCAATTAAAAGCTGGCGAAAACACCATGGTGCAGACGAACATCTATTGCTTGTGCTTTTCATTGTGTTTCCGGCTTTACATAATATGAGTCTGAATCAGTTGGGAGTCGATTGTGTATCTCGAAATGAGGTGAAAATAACAAAAGTGAGTAAATTCACTAGAATATTCATAATTTAATTGGTCAATAACTAGTGAATTTGCTCACTTTTGGAATTTTCACCTCATTTCGAGATACACAATCGACTCCCTGAACGCGATCATTTACTACTTTACGTTTTTGTGTGTGTCAGTCTGTCAGTAGTGTCAGTGTGTGCCATGGGCAAAGAGAAATATGGAATAAATTCTTTACTGTTACAGAAAGTGTATGCAGCCTTTTAATTATCTGTTAAATATATAGAAAGTTAATTAACTAATTAACTTAATATGCATACTAAGTGCTCTGTGTAAAAGAGGTCTGTATTGACTTGTGTCATTAAATGGATGATACTCTTAAAGAACAGGCCTAATATGAGTAGTTACAGTTGAAAAAAAAATAACAGAAGGAATATATAATTCATCTTTTTTTTGCACTTTTGATATGTTGCAGGTAACTGGATAACTTTGGGCCTTACATTAAACTCTGAAGATAATATTGGCTATCAAAAATGTCAGTCATTCATAGTTCTCTAATAGAGATTTGTTTGCTAAGTCGTTAATTAATTTCATCTTCAATTATATATATTTTAAAAAACCAGTGAAAGAAACATGCATACAACACGCGCCGACACCTCCGAAAGACGATTCGAAATACAGTGCAAACTGGAGTCTGAGATTGCTGCTCTTGAAGCACTGAAGGAGGCAGAGGAACGCAGCCGACGATTGACGAGTGGAGTAGTAGGAATACTCTCTTCCTTAGAAGACCGATTAGCTACGCTCCGCCGTACAATACTTCCAGTTTACAATGAGACTGAAAATCTTCAAGCACAACAACACAGTAAGCATTTTATTATTTCTCAAATTCCGTCTTCCTTAAAAAATTTTGTAATACATTCTTTCTCGCTCTTGTATTACAGATATAGAGAAGACTTTAAGCGTACTGGATCATGCTATTGGATATTACGGTGTATGTCAAGAGGTAGAAGCTGTAGTACGTGCCGAACCAAGTGGACCCGGTGGTTTAGATGGCTTTCTCGAGGCCATGAATCGACTGTACAACGCTCAGCGGTACTTCCAGAAAAACAATCCTAGCTCCGTCGAGTTACAAAATATCACGGGTCTCTTCTCAATTGGCCTAGAGTCTCTATATGCTGAGTTCCATGATATTCTTAATCGCCAAAGTCGACCAATCCTTCCTATTGTGCTTCTGGATCTAATTGGCTCCGATGAGGACACCAATGGCGAGGATGCGCCACAGTCCTTGTGCCAATTGCCCGAGAGCGTTATGAGCGACTTGCTCAAGATCGCTGGATGGCTCGAGGAAAGGGGTCACCGTAAACATACAAAGATGTATGCTTCCGTACGTTCCGCCATCGTCTTGAGATCTCTGTTACTGCTCAAAGAACATCAGAGAAGCGCCAGTGGTGGTAGCACCCATGGTGGAAGCCCTATGCCTGTAAATAAATATATGTATATATAGGCCTTCTTTTTAGCTGAACTTTTGCACCAGTTCATTTTTCTTCCTTTTCTCTTCAAGAGGAAAGAAGAAGAAAGATGAACTGGTGCAAAAGTTCAACCAAAAAGAACAGGCCTTGTGTGTGTAAAAATATATGATGCTTTTTAGATAGTATCTATATACATATATTATCCACAGCGAGCAAAATTTGCTAATCGACACTCTCTAGATGGTCAAGAGAATGCGGGGCGTAAAGCGTCGCGGCGGCTGCAGCACGCATTGGATAAGGCCAACAGAATGCTGTTGAAAGCGTCGCAAACGACGAGACTGAATCTTGCCCTGAATTCAGTGTCTAGGAAACCGACGCAGCTTATCCCGTACTCGATGGAGGACGCGGCACCCGACGAACAAGAGATGGAGAATTATCTTCTGTTAGCGGCCGGCCTACACAAACTCATACAAGCCGAACGTGCATTAGTCGCCAAGATCCTTTCGGCTTCCTTACATTCGCAAGTGCTCGAAGCCACCGTACGCGACGCGATGGACTTGGTCGCGCATGATGGAGACAGCATAGCTACGCGCGCCAAACGTTGTATCACAAGACGTGACTTCTCCGCCGTTCTCGTGGTTTTCCCGATTTTGAAGCACCTCGGTGAACTGAAGCCCGATTTCGAGAGAACGGTCGAAGGTTGCGATTATGCCCTCCGTTCCAAGTTTGCATCTGTGCTCGATACGTTACACTCAACCGTACGTTTTCATCTTTTTCTTACGTTTAAATGACTATAATCTAAATTTTTATTTTAAATAAATTTAAAATCTTAAATATTAAATTAATATTTATAATTAAAATATTTTATAAATTAATTATTAAGATCATGAAGGGTTTCTGAAATTACGTCATTTCTCACTAATACTTAATCAGTACTCCTTGGAAATATTTGATAATGTGTCTTATCAGCAAACATGTTTTATCTGATATTTTAAAGAATAAAAATGTAAGTAACGTGATTCAGTATCATTCGCTTGATATAACTAACAGTTGCGAGAGATATGCTTATTAAATGAAACAGTATATTAAAAAAGAAGTTTCCATTTATGTTTTATACATTTCCGACATTGTTCTATGCGCGACATTTTAATATATTTTTATATCAAAAGAGATTATATTTCAATATATTAAATTATTCCATTAGAAGTTAGAATTCGAAATGGGCAAGATTTTTTGCGAATTTATTTCAGAAAAGAGATTAAATGGACAGTTCTCCGTTTAGATGTTATTTAGTACTATACTTGAAATATTCAAACTTTAATAATAATTATATTTATAATTCTATATAATTTTATATATACTATATTTAGTATGTATTATAGTACTACACGGAAAGAACGACTTTGCTGAAAGATCTCAAATATTGCTGGATACAGATCTGAAAATATTTTTATTGAAACATCAAAATGATTATGTTGGAAACTAAAAAATGATGAGCAATGCAAAAAATCTTAATATTCCAGTATAAGTTTTCAACACAATTACTTTGATGGTCCAACAAAATTATTTTCAGATTTGTATCCAGTAAAATTTTAAATCTCACCAAAATCGTTTCTTCTTGAGAGGTAGAAAATTAATTTACAATTTAAAACTTATAACATTTAAACAATGTCCATTTAATAATAATATATAATAATATTTCTTTCCTTGAAATATAAATTCCTCCTCAATTTAACTATACAAACCTCCCTACCGTTTCCTGTTAAGAAGATGTATAACCGACATAATGAAAGAAACTATTCAATTTTGTAGGGAGCTAAAGCTTTGGAAGAGTTCGCGGAAAGTGTGAGAAATGAATCTGGTGCGGGTTTGCCAAAGGATGGTACCGTGGCGGAAGGAACTAGCAATGTCTTGATTTTTCTGGAACAGCTGGCCGAATATGCGGATATGGCTGGTACTGTTCTTCAACGCAATCTTTTTACAGACCAGTCTGCGTTACACTCGAAAGAGCCAGAAAATGTACATAAAATGGTTCTCAGTGTATACATCAGTAAGTCCATATCGTTCATATCGTTTATTCTTCGTAATATAAACCAGCTGAAATGAAAATATCGTTAATTTGACGAGAATTATTTTGTCCTCTTATAGAAAAGGTTCTTGCTCAACTGAATCTGGCGCTAGTGAGTAAAAGCGATGCGTCTTATTCCGATCTCGCTTTGCGAGCTTTATTTCGGTTGAATAATCATAATTACGTAGTTAACGCTCTCCGTCGAAGTTCTCTTATGGAGCTACTC